TAAAAAACAACATATTACAACTCAAAATGATGACTTGATACGAGAATCAAATTTCCTTTTAACAAAGAAAAACTATTTCATTACTTTCAAGAATTTAATTCAAGAACAATGTTATCGCTATATAAAAGTACACCAACTTGTAATTTTTTGATGCGGTTTCTTGACTGTTTTTTTTTGAAATAGTGGAAGTTTTCTTGGGAGTCAGTCAGGTTGAGAGAAAAAAAAAAATGAAACAATTTTTTTTTTTTTTTTTTTTTTTTTTACGTTTCGGAATTTTCATTTAATTCCATCCTCAGAAATAGAAATAGCAAAGTCAAAATTGTAAAAGCTAAAAATATATATAAAAAAAAGGAAATCAAAAAACGTTTAAGGACATAAAAGAAAAGCACTTACCACAGATGTTTTTACATTTTAAAACTTATAAATATTTTTTTTTTGTATAATGACGAGGACGATGTTACATAGAATGACAAACAGAGTTACGTATACAACAAACAAAAATTCAAAAACATGGTTTTTTTTAAAATAAAACACATGCAGAAATGCCTGTCGCCTATTCTGTGTCACAAGTTGTACTGAAATCTAGATCAAATCAAAATTGGTGTGCATTCCTTGGTTTTACTAGGTGTCTTTTTTTTATATGACGTTCGTACATTCCTTCCTATTAAATATAAACGGTGAAATATTATTAGGTATGACATTGTTTTGGAAGATGAAAAAACTGCAAATGAGTGGTTATATAAAATTTAGAAAAAACAAGAAAAACAAAGAAAAATTTTTCAACTTGGAACAAACAAAAAAGAAAAGGGCAGTGCAAAAAGGGAGGTATGAGCGAAAAATTATGGTAACTACCTTTTAATTCTCTTATGAGTTTATTAAATTATCATAAATACTACTTAAATTCTCGATATCAGTGCGGAAGTTGATAGAATTCTGATTTTTTTTAATTTGATACATTTCCTGGAAGAGTCTTTTTGAAAGATTCTGTTCTTCACCAATGATTTCGAAATTGTTGAAGTCAAATTGATGCAGATTGTTGAAGCAGTGTTGTGTTAACGCAGTATTATTTTCGGATGGTTTATGTAAGCTATTCTTATGATTTTTTATTCTTTTATGGATATATTGCTTGGTTTGACCAATGTAGCAGCTGTCACAATCTTGGCAGTTGATTTTGTAAATGGTATTAGTGCGCAAGTCTTTTTCAATAGAGGGTTTAAGTTTCGTGAAAAATTTTTTACTAAAATTATTTGGTTTTTCAGCAATTTGAATTTCATAAGGCTTTAAGCATTTTTGTATTTTACTGCAGACTTCAGGAATATAGGGTAAGGAGATATATTTATTATTCTTATTGATGGGATTCTTATTAGCTTTAGCATTATTGTTGTAGATTTTATGAATTTTTTTCTTTAAAATTGGCTCGTAAAAATGTTGGGGGTAATTGTTTTTATTAAGGGTGTCTTTAATTTTAGAAAGGTTAGCCGGTCTATTTTTTGGATGAGAAAGTAACAAGGCCCTATCAGCTAAAGCATTGACGACACTTTTTTTATATTTAATTGGCGCGTGAGAATTAAAATTAAGGTATCTTTCTGACCAGATAGATTTAGTATACCAATTTGTTGTTATGTTGCTAGAGTTATGAGAGATATTAATGTCTAGAAAGTTTATGCTTTTATTATTTTCTATTTCCATGGTAAATTGTATTTTATTGTGGAAGTCATTGAAGCTATCGAGAATATATTGTTGTTTGTGTTCCGGAACACAGAGAATGCAATCATCTACATATCTTTTAAAAAATATTGGTTCAAAATTTAAGTTAGAGATAATATTTTCCTCTACATGTTCCATCACCAGGTTAGCAATAGTTGCAGAGATTGGAGAACCCATAGCAGTACCAAATATCTGTGTATAAAATTTGCTTTCAAATGTAAAATAAGTGGAAGATAAACAAAATTTAACACCATCAATAAATTCATTTAGGGTAAGTGGAGTGAATTCATTCAAAATTGGCCATTTATTTTTTATGCAGTCCAAGGCCAAGTCGGTAGGGATATTGGTATATAACGAGATTACATCTAAGGATACAAGACTATGGTTTTCAGGTACATTAATTTGTTTAATAAAGTCACAAAAGTCCCAAGAGTCCCTAACAAAATAATCATTTTCACCTATAATGTTGGATAAGCTATCAGATAAGAATTTAGAAAGACTGTAAGTAGGAGAATTGAGAGTACTTATTATGGGTCTTAAAGGAATATTGTTTTTGTGGAGTTTAGGAAGTCCATAAATATAAGGTGCGTGGCCGTTGTGACTAATGAGCTTATTTTTTAGTTTTTTGTCAATACTTTTATTTTTGAACCAGCAGTTGATCATGCTGTTTAATTTTGTTTGTATTTTTGAGGTGGGGTCATTGTTTTCAATCTTATAGGTGGAGGGGTCAGATAACATGTTAAGCATCTTCTGATTGTAATCATTTTTGTGCATTAGCACGGTTTTATTACATTTGTCAGCAGACAGAATGATTAGATTAGTATAATTCTCTAGAAACGATTTAGTTTCTTTAATAAAAAAGTTGTATTGATTTTTCCATTTTTTGTTGGTGTTTTCAACTTTATTTTTGTAATTATTGAGTATGTTAGAGACTTTGTTGCGAATGCAGTTTTTTTGTTCGTTGTTTAGGGAACTGATGCCATTTTCAATGCTAGCTAAAATATTTGAAATTGGAAAGAAAGTCGGTATGTTTATGGAGAATTTTGGTCCTAAACTGAGAAAAAATTTTACAGGGTCAGGTATATTTATATTAGTAAGGTTCTCAATTCTCCTACTTACAGTCTTTCTAAATTCTTATCTGATAGCTTATCCAACATTATAGGTGAAAATGATTATTTTGTTAGGGACTCTTGGGACTTTTGTGACTTTATTAAACAAATTAATGTACCTGAAAACCATAGTCTTGTATCCTTAGATGTAATCTCGTTATATACCAATATCCCTACCGACTTGGCCTTGGACTGCATAAAAAATAAATGGCCAATTTTGAATGAATTCACTCCACTTACCCTAAATGAATTTATTGATGGTGTTAAATTTTGTTTATCTTCCACTTATTTTACATTTGAAAGCAAATTTTATACACAGATATTTGGTACTGCTATGGGTTCTCCAATCTCTGCAACTATTGCTAACCTGGTGATGGAACATGTAGAGGAAAATATTATCTCTAACTTAAATTTTGAACCAATATTTTTTAAAAGATATGTAGATGATTGCATTCTCTGTGTTCCGGAACACAAACAACAATATATTCTCGATAGCTTCAATGACTTCCACAATAAAATACAATTTACCATGGAAATAGAAAATAATAAAAGCATAAACTTTCTAGACATTAATATCTCTCATAACTCTAGCAACATAACAACAAATTGGTATACTAAATCTATCTGGTCAGAAAGATACCTTAATTTTAATTCTCACGCGCCAATTAAATATAAAAAAAGTGTCGTCAATGCTTTAGCTGATAGGGCCTTGTTACTTTCTCATCCAAAAAATAGACCGGCTAACCTTTCTAAAATTAAAGACACCCTTAATAAAAACAATTACCCCCAACATTTTTACGAGCCAATTTTAAAGAAAAAAATTCATAAAATCTACAACAATAATGCTAAAGCTAATAAGAATCCCATCAATAAGAATAATAAATATATCTCCTTACCCTATATTCCTGAAGTCTGCAGTAAAATACAAAAATGCTTAAAGCCTTATGAAATTCAAATTGCTGAAAAACCAAATAATTTTAGTAAAAAATTTTTCACGAAACTTAAACCCTCTATTGAAAAAGACTTGCGCACTAATACCATTTACAAAATCAACTGCCAAGATTGTGACAGCTGCTACATTGGTCAAACCAAGCAATATATCCATAAAAGAATAAAAAATCATAAGAATAGCTTACATAAACCATCCGAAAATAATACTGCGTTAACACAACACTGCTTCAACAATCTGCATCAATTTGACTTCAACAATTTCGAAATCATTGGTGAAGAACAGAATCTTTCAAAAAGACTCTTCCAGGAAATGTATCAAATTAAAAAAAATCAGAATTCTATCAACTTCCGCACTGATATCGAGAATTTAAGTAGTATTTATGATAATTTAATAAACTCATAAGAGAATTAAAAGGTAGTTACCATAATTTTTCGCTCATACCTCCCTTTTTGCACTGCCCTTTTCTTTTTTGTTTGTTCCAAGTTGAAAAATTTTTCTTTGTTTTTCTTGTTTTTTCTAAATTTTATATAACCACTCATTTGCAGTTTTTTCATCTTCCAAAACAATGTCATACCTAATAATATTTTACCGTTTATATTTAATAGGAAGGAATGTACGAACGTCATATAAAAAAAAGACACCTAGTAAAACCAAGGAATGCACACCAATTTTGATTTGATCTAGATTTCAGTACAACTTGTGACACAGAATAGGCGACAGGCATTTCTGCATGTGTTTTATTTTAAAAAAAACCATGTTTTTGAATTTTTGTTTGTTGTATACGTAACTCTGTTTGTCATTCTATGTAACATCGTCCTCGTCATTATACAAAAAAAAAATATTTATAAGTTTTAAAATGTAAAAACATCTGTGGTAAGTGCTTTTCTTTTATGTCCTTAAACGTTTTTTGATTTCCTTTTTTTTATATATATTTTTAGCTTTTACAATTTTGACTTTGCTATTTCTATTTCTGAGGATGGAATTAAATGAAAATTCCGAAACGTAAAAAAAAAAAAAAAAAAAAAAAAATTGTTTCATTTTTTTTTTTCTCTCAACCTGACTGACTCCCAAGAAAACTTCCACTATTCCAACTTGTAATATCCCAATCGGAAAAATCGTTTTTCCGCAATTAGTTCGTCGATTTTCCGTCGGCCGCCGCCGAGGGAGCCACCTACGAACTCATTAACTTTCAAATGAACACTGATTTTCTTAGATGTTACAACAGTCTAATGGCGAAATGTGAACAGCGAAGGTGGCGTTGAAAAAAACTAACGCGTGGGGGATTTTTCTTATTATTATCGGTTGGTACGCGTGTGATTTTTCATTTTGTTCTTCGGTGCGTTCTTCTTCTTGTCTGTCTGGGTTTTCTAAGTTTGTGTGTTTTTTTTTTGGATTTACTTTGTTACTAGCTGGAGGATTTTAGGACAAAGTTAAGGGTAAGAGTTATTTTTGCAATTAATTGTTCACATTAAAACACTTATAAAGCGTGCAGTGTGTTATTTATTTAAATACAAAGTCTGTAGGAATTGGATCGGAACTGTATGCAGGCTATACATGCATTTTAATTATTAAAATAATATGTTTGAGAAAATGTATTAGTAAATTAGGAGCGTTGAAAGTTGCGATATTGTTTTCTGATGTGTAAAATTTGATTAGTAAATTAAGTCATGACCGTATATAATCTATGATTTATCATTTATCAGATCAGTTTTCCTACATCAGTTTGCAGTTTCAGGGGAAAATCAAATCATAGATGATTTTCTTAAGATTTCCACTGAGTTCCTCAAGATTTACTTATGATTTTCCGTAATTGCTTTAAATTTCCTTTTTATTTTTGGCTAATTTGTACACCATCAGATTTTCTTTGCAGTTTTACCTCTCGTAGTAAACCGCATCAGGTTAGTTTTATAGTATATCATAGCTTGCAGTTTTTGGAAAAATTATGGATGATTATCCCTGATTCGCATTATTTCTTCAAGATTTCTACTGAGTTCCCTAAGATTTTCCTTGATCCAGGGAGAGTCATAAGGAAATCAGAGGATTTCCTTATGACTCTCTCTGATCCCCTTTATAATCATGCAAGACAAGAACCTGATTTTAATCTTTCAAATCCAATTTCGATTAAATGCCAATGTAATTTTTCATGTACCAACAATTGGGTGTCTAGTCGGAGTAAATTTTTTATTTTCTCAATTTACACACACAGTTGATATCACTAACTTCCAGTCTATCCGGTATCTTCATAAAGACTGGATCTTTTAATTCGCCATTCAAAAACACGCATTTAACATCCATTTGATTCATATACAGATTTTCTTCCACATTAAATGAGAACAGAAGTCGAATTATCAACATTCTCGCCACTGATGCGTACACATCATCGTCCACATTATGTTGTTTAAATCCTTGAGCCACTAGTCTTGCCTTGATCTGGAGTTTTCACTATTTTCCATGTATTATTTTCTTTCAGTGTTCTAAGTTCGGTCCCTATAGCTTCATTCCAACCATTTCCAAAAGAAAATGGCTTCGTTGTAAGTCTGAGGTATGTCAGAACATAAGTTTCCAGCTGAAAGTGCAGTCATTAGACTTTCGTCAAAGTCCAGTTGGTAATCCCTAAATCGTTTTGGTTTTGTAACATTGTATGTAGGTATATACTTGTATACAGCCTGCAGTGGCGTCAGAAGAGGCAGGGGAGGCTAAGCCTCCCTCAAAAAATTGAGCCCGAAGGGCCGGAATTATACGCGAGCCCGAAGGGCCGGAGTAATACAAGCCCGAAAGGGCCGGAGTAATACCAGCCCGAAGGGCTGGAATAATACGAGCCCGAAGGGCTGGAATAATACGAGCCCGAAGGGCCGAAGTTATACGCGAGCCCGAAGGGCCGGAGTTATATCAGCCCGAAGGGCTGGAGTAATACGAGCCCGAAGGGCCGGAGTAATACCAGCCCGAAGGGCTGGAATAATACGAGCCCGAAGGGCCGGAGTTATACGCGAGCCCGAAGGGCCGGAGTAATACCAGCCCGTCAAAATTAACTCTGAAAATATATACTATATATAAGAAAAGAAACATTTTCTCGAGTATTCATGGTTTTTATTGAATTTGAGATAAATTATTGAGGGCATGGGCACCCCAAAACAAATTTTGCCTGCTGCGCAGTGGTTACCTACCTTATTGTAATTCATTTTTTTTTAGCCTCTTCACTTGAAATAGTCACGAGCCGCCACTGCCTGTCTGTCAGGTCTGTATTAAGCTCACAATGATTCAGATGACCCACTTCTCCACATTCACAATTCTGACTGTCCTGCATACCAACTTTATGAAGGTATTTTGGTATGAGGCAATGTGCTGTTCTCATTCTGTAAAAAACACTAGCTTTCTGTCTATTTATTTTCTCTATTGGTATTCGTAGAGGTTCCTACACTAATTTGTGATACTGGTTCCAATGATTTCTGCCCTTATTGGAATATTCCACAGCCTATTCCCTCCATGTTTCTTCCTTAGTTATTCTGGCCAGATCCTCATAGTGTAATGTTTTATTTACAAAGACGTTAGCCCTTCTTGCAAGGTCATGTGCCTTATCATTTCCTATTATGCCTGAGTGACTAGGAACCCATATCATTTTAATTTCCACACCCCCATTCTGCATTTCAAGAATTTTTTTCCTAACGTTCTTAACGTGCTTCTATCTGAACTCTATGAATACCAGCTCTGACTATTTTCTCAATGGCACTCTTGGAATCCGATATCAGGACAACCTTTTTTTTATCATTCTCCAAGGTATTCAAGGCTGCATAGATGGTCAGCACCTCTGCTGAGCAAATATTAGTTGAATTCTAACATTTCCCTATTATTGAAAACTCCAATTCAGCACTGTGCTGTTATAGGGTCCAAAGATGCATCTGCGTAGATATGTTGATAGTCTATATATTCCTCCAAAATTCCCTGCAGTTTTACTTGAGCATCTAGACTATCCTTTTGTATGTTCGAATCAACCCATTCTATTTTTCGCATTTTAGCTTTCATATCTTCTTCATAACATGGCAGATTATCCGATTTTTCTAATATTTTTATATATATTTATAATTATAAATATTTTACTACTCTGGACATAGTAAGTGGATATCACCAAATCCCTATAGCTGACATTTCCAGAGACAGAACAGCTTTTGTCACGCCCGATGGGCATTATAAATATCTGCGTATGCCTTTCGGATTAGTAAACGCGCCAGCTGTGTTCCAGAGAACGGTAGACTGCATTGTAAAATCAATGAAAAACACAACTGCATCAGCTTATCTGGACGATATTCTAATACCTTGTGCTGATATTTCGTCCGGTTTAAACAACTTAAGAGACATTTTTGAAACCTTTAGAAAATTTGAAGCTACGTTTAGGCTCGAAAAATGTCACTTTTTCAAAGCGAATATTGAATATTTGGTTCATGAATTAAATGCCGAGGGAGTATGTCCTGGAAAAGAAAAGTTCAAGGCTGTAGATGACTTTCCTTCGCCAAGAAATGTACCATGGGCAAGCACAAAATCCGCTCCCTCCATAATCGCTGGAGCGCCCTTCGCCCGCTAATAAGGAGGGTCCTGGTTATATAACGCATAGAAGTTGATTATCCTCTTGGTAACCTCATACCCTTTTAAAGCCATTTTCCAAAGCATCAATCTTGTACTAAGTCAGTGGTATTTTAGCCACTTCGGATAACAACGCCATTATGGGTGTACTCTTCATACAGCCAGTGACCCCTCTCAGGGATTCTATTCAATCTGTTCATATTCATCTTACATGGCTTGACAGCCATAATCAAAGTGGAATCTTAACTAGTCCTTTATATATATTCAGCAAAATATTCGGGTCTGCGTTCCACCATTTTCTTTTGATTGCTCTCATAATATTGATACCTTTCTGCGCCTTATTACTAACATACTCCACATGATCATTCCATTTCAGCTTTCTGTCCAATATTAGTCCCAAATACTTGTATTTCTGCACCCATTCAATTTGTCCCTTATATTTGTTCTTGGATTATTTCTGTTCCCTTTGGAGAACAGCATCGCTTTAGTTTTTTCCGTCGATATGTCCATGTTGTTTCAAGTTTCAGTCAATCTATCCATCGCAGCTTGCACCTTCCTAATTCCTTCTTCCACCTTTTTCCCAGTCGCAAACAGAGCAATGTCGTCCGCATACTGAAGTGTACCTACTCCCCCTGAAACTACTTCCTGAATCTGATTGGTGTTTATGTTGAAAAGCAAAGGACTCAAGGGTGACCCCTGTGGTAGTCCCATATTAGCTTTTATACATATATATATATATATATATATATAGATGAGAAAATTTTGGATTAATTTTCTTTGCTTTTCCATCCATAGACGCGTTTCGACCTATCAGGTCTCATCAGTATGGCTAGGAAAAGCAAAGAAAACCAATCCAAGTTTTGTGCATGTATGCAAAATATAAGTAGTAAGACGGTCGAAATTTGATCGTGGCGCCATCTAAGACAAGGATTCAACACTAAACAGCAATTTTTGCTGTTATTAGTGCTGCCATCTAATAGGCCGACCAAAAATCAGTTCGTTGGGAAAACCCAACGAACTGATTTTTGGTCGGCCTATTAGATGGCAGCACTAATAACAGCAAAAATTGCTGTTTAGTGTTGAATCCTTGTCTTAGATGGCGCCACGATCAAATTTCGACCGTCTTACTATATATATATATATATATATTATTGGGCCTTCTGCCTCCAAGTAAAGGGTTAATCTGTCTCTTAGTAAGGAGTTTTCATTGTTATTTTTAGCATCCTGATGAAGTCTGCAATGGTAGACGAAAGCTTGATATTTGAATAAACAGACACTTAGTAGCACATTACATCGTTTTACTTTGGCTACCTCTAGCATTTTGGGGAATCTCATCTATTAACTTATCCTTTGTTGTTACCAGTACCCCGTTACTGTCCTCCTCTCTTATATATATATATATATATATATATATATATATATATATATATATATATATATATATATATATATATTCCTATCTGAGTAGAGATTGTAAATCCATTCGACTTTGGCCTCTTTCAACTTATCTCCCAGACTTTCCATTGATATATTGTCATAGACGGATATCTATAAAGGAACATACTACCACTTCGTTTTTAGTCAACGCTGTATATATGGCAATAGTCAAAATGACCGTCGTATTTTCGAATATTGTCGCCTACGAAATTTAATATGATTTCGAATGCTCCCCATTCAATTTACATTGCTGTCAGTCAAATTTCGTGTACGAAATGTACTCGAATGGTTTCGAAAATCGCACCCCGATTGTCAATGGTTCCTTTGCCTTTTCTAAACCCATTCTGAAATGCATTGAAGTCATAGGCGCCGGAATTTCAAAATTACTATGGGGGCTCGGGCACCAGAAATTAACATAAACAAAAACAGAATTAATTATGCAGCCAGTAGAGGGGGCAAATTTGCAGGAAGTAATCCTTGCAAAGCGCCGCAGGCGCGAAATTTTTGATTCTTTTTACGGTATTTTTGGGAATTCTAATGACTGGAGCAAGCGGGGATGCGGCCATTTCAACAAATTTTGATAAGAATCTATAGTAGAACGTTACTTATAATATGTATATGTATGTATTTGATTTTTTACCTGAAAAAATCCAGTGTATTGGTAGATAGGTACCATCGTCACTAAAAGTAACATTGAGTTTTTTCTTGATTTCGTCTAATTTCCTTATAGTTGGGGAGCGGGCGTCAAAAACATGCAAGAGTTTTCGCAAGGCGGATATTTTCAAAATAGGTCGTACTTTAGTGCTAGAATGCTAGTGTACAGTCAGCAGTCACAGTTCCGGGACAGCTGGCTCTGGGACGCGGGCAAAGTTGTAATTTTAAGAAGCATCTAAACTGTTTTCTCAAAGCTCAAAATTTATAGAAATTTTGCACATTATCTGTTTGAAGGTCACAGATAACGTATGTAAATCGTCAGACGTCTAGCTCGTTGCAAAAAGGGGGTCAGATGTCCTCAAAGTTCTTATTTTATGGCAGTTTCTTCAAATATATTTGTCAAATACCTGCAAAAATATATTTTGACAGGACACCGAAGAAAATGCCATAAAATAAGAACTTTGAGGACGTCTGACCCCCTTTTTGCAACGAACTAGACGTCTGACGATTTACATACGTTATCTGTGACCTTCAAACAGATAATGTCCAAAATTTCTATAAATTTTGAGCTTTGAGAAAACAGTTTAGATGCTTCTTAAAATTACAACTTTGCCCGCGTCCCAGAGCCAGCTGTCCCGGAACTGTGAGTGCTGACTGTACACTAGCATTCTAGCACTAAAGTACGACCTATTTTGAAAATATCCGCCTTGCGAAAACTCTTGCATGTTTTTGGCACCACCTCCTGGACTATTATGATTTCCCCTGATTTGTACGCACTACGCACCAGAATTCCCTTGCAGTTTGCCCTCCATTTTCTATAAGATTTGAATTTTTACTTGTGTCTGTTTCAACTCGTTTTGATCAATATTTAGGTGACAAGTGAAGATTAGTAAAATCCTTCCAAAATTGAAATTTCCACCACAAAATTACCTGCTCAATTATAAATCAACAATTTCATGATGGCAGAGGATCAAAGTAACTTTATACAAATTTACTTATGAGTTACTAACCCCCAAACTAACTTAAATAGATGAAATTCCTATTATTAACCCAAATAGGTAATATTTCTTTACTTACTAAACAAAATAATTCTTCATAGAAAAAAACAACGCAACAGGATGTCGTCCATCATGCGATCTTGTGTCGGCTTTAATTTATTTTGTAATTAATATTAACAAGAATCAAAGGGGATTTCTATTAAAAAGTTGCGATATTGCGACTTGCTTAATTCAATGATAGAGGCGTTTATATGTAGGTTCAAAATGCATTTGAAACATCTTAATTTAACTAACAAATTTCTTGTGTGTGGTACAAAACAATTAGAGGCAGGAAATGTCAGTAGTAAGGAGAAGTATTTTTAAACTTCCTCATGAGTCTTAATTTAGATAAGAATCGTCTAATAAAGTACATTAATTTTGTTTTGATTAGTACTTACGGTCAAGTGAGTACCGGCGCGCGGGCTTTCTTTAGAAAATGAAAGAGAAACTATAGACAATAATAATTTTAGATTATAAATATACATGATGCTTTCCCCATTTTTCGACATGCACATTTGTGTGATGAATAATATTTTTTTTTCAGGAATGGAATAATTGACTATATACGAATGGCAATCCGCAATCGAAATGAGAACTCCGGAACATCGAGCTCAGCCAAGGGCTGGCAAAAAGTTCGAGGTAAGAAAATTCTAGATTTTTCTCCATTAAAATAACATATTAATTGATTTATTTAGGCGGAACTAGAGATGCATTACTTATCACCTGGAGCTTTTACGGTACTGCCATTGGACATGGACAGGATACCCGAACCGCCTTCGGCACCTCCACCTTACAGGTAGGTAACTCGATTTCAAAAATATCAAATTTTGGTGTTTATTGTATTTGTTTTTATTGTGCGCACAGCTCAGAGTTCAGGGGTTGGGAACCGACGAGGTAACAATTAAATAGTCCACGAAAAGTTGATTTATATTTTTGTTTTTAAGAATGTTTTTTGTAATTGTAGACTCCCGTTTTTAAATTATACAGGTCGGACCAACTTACTAGACACATAGGGAGTAATTTATTTATTCTGTTTGAAGGTTTACAAGGGATGCGAATTAAAGGTACCTACGCGTATTCTTTGGTGTGATTTAGGTCTGTTGTCTGTTTCTGCAGAAATCCAGTCAGAGTGAATTTTATTAGTTGAAACTAGTTTTCTAACTGTTTTTGACTGTTTTTAACCAATGAAATTCGCTGTGGTCGCGTCGACTAAGGGTTTATCCTGAAAAGAGCTGGCTAAAGAATAATCGTCGACTAAGGGTTTATCCTGAAAAGAGCTGGCTGAAGAATAATTTGTGTTCCTAGACCAATTCTGTTATTTTTACGGGTTAGAGCGTCCTGCTTCTGACAGACTCTTTAATGCCTTTTAGCTTTTCTTTATTTGGCTTTATCCCGCTTCTATTTACCTACTGTGAATTCCAACATTTTTATTTCTTCTTGAAGATATGTACACTTACTGGGTTTTACGGTGAGGTTTGCTTCTCTCAGTCTCTGGAATACTTTTCTTAATTTTTGTATGTGCTCCTTTACCATTTTTGAGAAAATGATAATGTCATCCATATACACTAATATACTGCCTTCCATTTTAAATCCCAAAAGACCATATCCGAAAGTTCTTGAAACACAAATGGAGCATTACATAATCCGAATGGGAGGACGTTCAATTCGTACGAGCCATGGCCTTGTGTCACGAATGCCGTGAATTGTTTTGAATTTTCCTCTACCAGCACTTGCCAGTATCCTGAGAACATGTCTAATATTGTCTTAGGTACTAAAATATCTCGCTTTGCCCAGGTAACTTAATATGTCATCGATTTGAGGTTTCTGCAGAAACATACCTTATATTTTCTTGACATCTATCATACCAGCAGTATATTATTTAACGGAAAGCATACAATGAATGAAATGTTTAACACCTACCTACCAACAAGCTTCTTCGTAAAATGTAAGTTGTCTCTGCTCGCGTATAATACCCAGCAAATTCATAAATTCGTGATGTTTAGTTGACCCTAAAGCTATTGTCAAGATATCCGCTGGAATCTCACTCGATTCTAGATATTTAGCCTTTATTTTACCACTTTCAATGGTTTCAATGATGACGCACATCTATATGCTTGGAACGTTTATGAAAAACTGGATTGGACGAAAGCTTTAGTGCACTTTGGTTATTACTACTATATAAAATAACATTATCAAAAGAACCAACTAATTCATGCCACAAATTTCTGAAGTAAATCGCCTCTGATAAAGTTATATACTCAACTTTTTTGCTGGATAGAGTTACTGTTTTCTGCTACTGGTGCTCAAACAAGAAATCAAAGAATTTGAAAAAGTTGAACAGAAGCCAGTAAGACCTTCTTTCTACAATATTGCTGCCCCATCTCTTTGACTCAAATAAGTCTCAGTAAAAAAGATATCAGGTCTATGTAGTCATTACAGTCAAATATATCAGACTGCTAATCAACTGCTGATATTATACTGGAAAATAACTTTTCTTCCGACTGAGAAAATTGAATGTTATTGTTTCTATAGGGACTAGAAAGTAGACGTTTCTGAGTGTTCAGGCTCGCTGTGGCTCGCCCGTACATTTCTTCTTTCAGCCTGGAAAAATGTCACTTTACCGGCTAGGTCTACAATATATTATTCTTTACCTTCACTCAAACCTATATTTTTCTCCACATCAGTTTTACACTTTGCTATATTGAGCTTTGTTCACCTAAGGGCCAAATTATGAACTGACTGGTAATTGTCTGGTTGTTACCTAGCAGGTACTTTCTATTAGGCAATTCAAACCACGTGACACTCAAGATGGCGTGGCGGCCACACATGGGCCAAAAAACACAAAAAAATACCTAGTTTCTGCCAGATTTAATAGTTTAAGTACCTAGTCAACAAATATCGTATTAAATAATCAAAATCAAAGTTACAAGCAAAACTCTAAGCAAAATAATTTAAAATACACATAAAAACATATTCAAAACAAGCTTGCTTGGCCGCCACGCCATATTGAATTTTCCTTTTTGACAGATGGATTAAATTGCCTAATGCACTAGAGAATAGAAAGTACCTGCTAGGTAACAACCAGATTTACCTGTTGGTCCATAATGGGGTAGTATACAAGTGATTTTTAACTACTACGTACGTAGTGATATACTCGACGTATCGTACTATTTAGTGTAATCAGTTGCTTTGTAAAAACCGCAGTAGCCTGGAATTTTATTTTTTAAATTTTCTCTTAGCCCCGCCCCTACGTGTAAATAAAAGTTCGTGACGTAGTTAGTTTTTCCAATCTGGCAACACATCACGGTTTTGAGAACACACAATTTGCACTGACATTGACCGTCAAGAATGAAACATCAAATTTACTACATCAAACAACGTAAACAAAGCCGCTTTCCAGCTGACGCTTTTGAGCACGCAATCGAGCTTTTGCGCGCGCAAATGCGTCAAGCGCGTGTTTGTGTTCCAGCCGTACTGCGCTTCGAGAGCCTGCTAACTTTGGCGTTTCAAACACAGAACACTGTGCTGCCTGCACCGTGCTTGAAGCACACAGCTGGAAAGCGGCTCAAGTCTGTGACAATGTCACATGTCATTTTGAGCAGCGTTGCCAGATGGTCAGCGGCTTAAATATTATTGGTCGCCGCTGTAGCGCTAAATTCAAATTACAGTTTGTTTTTCTCTTACTAATTCTATAGACACTATGCTGGAAAATAATTGAGTAGCCCACTATGCCATCACCATTTAGCCTATAAAATAAGGTCGAGCAGATTTTTTACTGATTTTTATACATAGTAACTATACTACCCCATTTGGCCCTAAGTCGTTTAACTGAAAATTCTTACTGAATTTCTTGTTCCTATACTTTATCATTAGAAAAAATGATGAAATCTTCGACGCATAAAGCAATCACTGTTATTAAGTCATTTCTGTTTTTTCATAAAAACACAAGATTCAAACTTGGACTTTGTATACCTAAGGTTAGTTAATATTACTTCTTTGACCTTTTTATACAAAACTCTAGATTACTGTTTGAGACCATTTTGAGCTTTTTAAAACATTGTTTTCACAACCTTGATTTATTAAACCCTTTGATTGCTTCATATAAATAGTCTCCTCATGCAAAAAAGCTGTGATAATATCTAAATGATAAATATCAAGTCCGGCCTATACCGGGTTACAACGAAATCGTTATACAAGGCGTCATTCAGTTGTCTTTAAAGTTAAAAAGTTGAAAATTGGGTGGAACGGGTAAGTCATTGAGACGCACATTTTCCATAAAAAAAACAATTGAATATCACTTCCGATTACTCCGGAAATGGACCGGTCAAGAAATTTTTATGAAACCCTGTATATTGTTTTGCACATTTGGATAGAAATTAAAATTCCCTTTTCAATGACATATCACAACTTGCATTTGTTTCCAAGATGGCGGCGTAAGAAGGTATTTTTCTTAAATTAAATATGGCGGCATTCTGACGTAACCGATAATATTTCTGTCAAACAAACACTTTTAACAATCCATAATATTTGGATTTGAAATGGTTTTAGATCGAATTTAAAAAAAAAATTATGTTACTCAAAAACAAGGGGATTTTAAAATTTCTTTAAAATGCAAATTTTAGTTTTAAATTTTCTAAAAATTTTGAATAGGAAGAGGTACTTATTAAATTCTAGAATTAAAGTGTGTCCAATGGCCTACCGAAAAATGTCTACCAAAATGCATATTCTATTTCGGTTAGGTATTCAAAGGTCAGGTCAGAATGCCGCCATATTGAATTTAAGAAAGTGCTTTCTCACGCCGCCATCTTGAAAACAAATTCCACTTATCATATGTCATTGAAAAGGGAATTTTAAGCTTTATCCAACTGTGTAAAAAAATATACAGGGTTCCATAAAAATTTCTTGACTTGGGTCCATTTCATAAGTAACCGGAAGTGATATTCAATTGTTTTTTTATGAAAAGTGTGCGTCTCAATGACTTACCCGTTCCACCCGATTTTCAAATTTTTAAATTTAAAGACAACTGAATGACGCCTTGTATAACGATGTATATTAGCACTTGATGCTATCAAAAAACGGTGTGTTAAATGTCCCACAAGTCACAACAGGTGAGAATGTTTCATGGAAATCCACTCCCTCTTTCTGAATGAAGCCCTGAGCTACTATAGATTAGCACGATAGTTCTTGTTACTATCCTTATTTGTCTTAATCCTATACACCAACTTATATTGAACTAGTGCACTTTTCACTGGCTTCTACTATTTTCCAAGTCTCCCGAAATACTTATACTATAATCTAAGCTTATACTCATGCTGCATAACCTCCCTCTCCTTCCAACGACTATAATCTGGTCTTGACAATGCCGTTGTCACAGGAGCCTTCTCTGGTAAATAAGCAGAATTTTGACAGTCAGTACTTAGATATGTTAAGTAGTTAGTGAACTGCTTTTCTCGCCTCGTCCTCTGAGATTTTCTCAAAACTTCTTAATCAAGTGCGTTTATCTTTGATAAATCTGGCACATAGTCAGTGTCTGCGGAATCTAGATGAGTTGGAAATTGTGCATCAGATAGAGAGTGTGGAGATAGACTATCTCAAATCAACCAGCTGAACTGTTAAATTTGTTCCTATCCTGTTCTAAATTTTGCTCACTCTCTCCCACTCCAACTCATCACTGTCACTTCATAGCTAATATCCAGATGTTGTATTATGTTGCAGTAAGTAAACTTCATAAAACTCTTGAAACTTTATTGCGATAAGTGACAATAATTATTGTAATATCTGTAGGACGATAAAGGC